ATCTAAGCAATCTCCTTCCACATTAGCAGACTGCCTCAGCTGAAGTACTATTGTACAGGGATCCTCAGTCTCACAGTCTACAGACAATAACCCCTCTCTTTGGTCTTTCTTGGCAAATCAGTGATAATATAAAACAGAAGGTTTTAAAGCACTGATTTTGCTTGAGGCTGCAAATTACCTTTGTGCCATCACAATTACACAGCTTTCCTTAGCGACTTTCTCCAGGAGACTGAACAGTACAAGGATTAAGCACGGAAAAGTTAAATAAATCCATGAGGCAGCAAGAGAGTCCCAGTAAGCCTGGTTTAACAATCTCACTTACTCACGCTGACGTTCTCAATTAAAAATAACTGTCATTTTACAAAAGCAGGACAAATCAAATATTCATTGGATCCTTTAGGAAACTGAGTATTATTATCTTTATATTCAATACCTTAAATATCTGGACTGGTAACTATAAATATATTTTGTGGCCACCCTATTGAGTATCCTACATCAAAGGTAAAGTCCTTTCCAAAAAACTTTTGGGTACTAGGACCAAGAGCCATTGGTATAGATGTTAAAGAAAATAGCCTTTAATAAGTCTAATGTTCTCAAGACACAAACTAGTTACAACTGGAAACTACCCACAAATACATACTAAATTAGAGAGGGGTGCTTGAAAAAAAAACACCTTGAAAAAATCCATCTTCATAGGGTAGCATCTTTCATATAAGATGGTGTTGATAATTCCTCATTTAGCCTTGGAATCCTTTAGAATACAGAATTGTTCAGGAGCATGATAGATCAACTAGGTCTAAAGGAATCCAATATGCATATGTTTATAGTGTGCTCTTCTACAAAGAATCACCCATGCCAGTTTGAAAAACTGAAAATCAACAAAAGATCGGTGTAAGTAGACCTGACCTTACTGCCTAACGTCATCCGGATTGGCACAGTTGATCGATTTCAAATTTGTGAAACTGACACTAAAAAATGTATCCTCAGTCCAGGTCCCTCAAGCGCTAACTGAACTACATGCAGAGCTTCAGAGTCTCCTTCTACACAAACTTGCACAACACTCACACAACCAATCTAATCACACCATCAATCTGTGCCTACACTTCCTGTAAAGTAACTCCACTTCATTTATCTTCTAACCCTGCATTATGCAAACCATATCCTTATCAGACCAATTAGGAAAAGTTATTCACATTTCTTCTTGTTTAATTTTACCATACACTAAGAAACAGGCATCAATATAAGAATCTGCATAAGTAATTTTTTGTTTCAGACTCAGTAAGGAAAAAAATCACCCTAATACCACCATAGTGTCATAGAATAACTAAACAAATTCTTGAAATATCCTTCAATTAGCATTCACAGCTAACATCAGAGCATGGGATGGTGTTTTCAGAAAGGAAAAAGAAAAAAAAACTTACGGAACTGCCTACTTGAATTTTTCTTAAATGTCTCTCTAGGAAGGGTTTGTGTAAGCCATACCAGGGTGTCTCCTGAATATAAGAACAGTTATACAGGCCCCTAGTGGCTTAGCAAATAGCAGCAGTTGAGGAGAATCCAATTTTTAGTTCTAGACTTTGGGGTATTTTGGTTTTAAATGAGTGTCTATCTTAAAAAGCATGTCAAGTCATGGCATACATTATTTTAAGCAGTTTTGCATCTATAACTACCTACACACCCACACCCATATATATGTGTGTGTGTGTGTGTGTATATATATATATATATATATATATATATATATATATATATATATATATATATATGCATTTCGTTACTTAAATTAATTGTCCAACTTCACTGGCCAAGAATTTTTGCCATGTAACCGCCACAACAGAACAGTTGACACATCTGCTTTCTTACATGCCATTATAAAGTAGTATCTCCCCCAACTGCCTTAAGATACATCTAAGGGCCACCTCTCCTGTTTGAACCCCATTTTGATTATATCACCATTACTAAGGGTTTTATAATAAGCGGTCATTATTTGAAACCACGTAGACAGATCTAAATGACACTCTTCAGTTATAGAAATCTCGATGTGTTTTCTACAAAGCAGCACCTACTTTAAAATATTTACAATTAATAACACCCTTTAATCCTCCATCCCCTCGTGTCTTTCCTTCACAAAAGAAAATTCCAGGCAGGCACATTTACAGCTTTTAGCAATTTTTAACTGGACACAATCTGACAGCTGAATTCATGAAACTGACCAGCTTGTCAATTTCACACTTTGAAAGTACAATAATAGCTGATAACATGAGGGTGAATTTAAAAAAATCTGTCACAGAATTGCTAGCTCCATTGAAAAGGACAGTACAGTACATAATTATGGGAGGCAGGAGGTAGGGGAAATTTTATTGTCCATTTAGGAGATGTGTTTCAAGAATTTGGACACAGAACAGGGAAAACGTGTTTCCTTTTTGCTATGATGTCTATCAGGGGCATATAGGAGATGTGTTGAAAAGGAGTATAATACCCACTAAGATTTTCCATGAACATCAACAGTGCTTTCACAATTGGGATCATCCAAAGATTCGTTTAAATCAGAATGTTTTGTGTTTGGGTATATCATCCTGGATTTACATTAAGTTGAGACCTTGGTGTGTGCACTCTGAAACAGAGAAATAGCCAAACCATCCGAAGTACCTCTGGGTGAAGGAAGTCTACATAGGTGTGCTACAGACTGGCAAAAAGAATACACTAAAGTCTTCATTTGCAGCTGATTACACCCTCAAATCTGTGAACTCCTAAGCAGTTACTAGTTACTAAAAGGCTCAAAACGTGCGAGCCGCTGCCTCTTAGTTCACAAGCATTGAATATCAGAGCAGGACATAAGAGAAAAAAAATGATAAACAATTTAAGAGCAAATACAGGGCCAGCGATCCCTCGGGGATCTTCCAGGGCACTTAAGTTGTAGATTGTAGATGAGGCTGGGGGATATAATCCAGTCTAAGAAACCCAGGCAACAGGAGATGCTAGGCAAGTAGAGCACTGGAGGCGAACTGGAAACCACACAAGCGAATTGTGATAGTCTGGGTTTTGAAGAATGGCACTACTATTTGTAATTTAGAGCGCACGGTTAAAGAATACCAAGCTCATACTTACTGTTCAGCAAAATATTTAAGCGGAACAAAACCTAACTTCACTTGTTAAAGATTTAAAATACAAGGAACGTCGCGGAGAAGGAAGCAGGGCAAGTTTTTGTTGTTTTTAACATGTCTATGTAAAAGCTTCAATCAATGTGTAAGAAAGCAAAGGATCTTCGGTTGGTGGCTTTCTTTTCGAATTGTTTCCTACTACTTCAACTCTTCATAATAAATTATGCGTTTCTTTCCCCACGGTACGAGTCTGTGTGAGTACACCAGATTCCCGCTGCAGAACTAGAGAGCTCCGACCCGGCCACGAAAAGCGCTCCGAACAATCCCCCTCCCGCGGACAGCCGCGGACCCTCGGGTGTCTCCTATTTTTTCCTTCTCCCGCAGCAGTTCAGAGCAAAGAATTCCAAATCGCCCTCCAGAACGGGCCGCTGCCGCCGGGAGCAGGTCGCCGACCCCTAGCTGCTCCGGGGACGGAGCGGAGTGGCTCCGGGCGCACCGCGGTCCCGGGCTAGGCGGGCTCGGGGTTGCAAGCCCGGGACGGCTTACCTGCTCACGTCGGCTCGGGGCAGCCGCCGCCCGCGCCGCCAACAGCACCGCGCTCCAGCCCTCCGAGGCCGCGCCGCCTCCGGGCGGCCGTTCAGTCCCGCAGCCGCCGCCGCCCAGCCCGCGCGGCAGCCGCAAGTGGCGAGTCCGCGGGAGTCCCGGCCCCGCCGCCGAGCGCCCCGCCTCCCTTCGCCAGCGCCGCGTCCTCGGCCCCGGCGCCCGCCGCTCGCCGCTGCTCCCGCTCCTCCCGCTGCTCCACGCTCCTCCCGCTCCTCCGCGCCCTCCTCCTCCTCCTCCTCCTCCTCGCGCTCGGTGGCTCCGGCGCGCGGCTGGGGGGTCCGGCCGCGTCTCGCCTCCTCCCTCCGCCTCTCCTGTTTCCTCCTTCCTGCTGCCGCTGCTGCTTTTAAAGCAGATTCTTTGGCCACAAATAGCAACTCGGCTGCCCCCCTCAGCGCCTCCCTCCGGTTCTTGTCTTCTTCCCCCCAAAAGTGAAGCGCGAGTGAGATAACCCGACACTGAGGCCCTCGGGGGTGAGGGGGAGCGGGCGAGAGGGGCCCCGCAGCCCGGGAGCAGGGTCCGGGGCTGCACAACCCGGGCCGGGGCAAGGGTGGCCGGCCCACACCTTGAACCTGGCGGGAACCTGGTAGTCACAGTTGCAGGCGAGGTGCCTTGGTGGGGAAATGAAATGGGGGAGCTCAGGAAAGTAATTTTCTAGGCTTCTCTCCTTTGTTTCCTTGTCTGGCTGATTTCTAAAATCCTCATAACTGCTGGAGCTCCCACGGAATCGCTGTGCCCAGCGCTTGGGGATTGTGTGTGTGCGTGTCGTCTGCTCCTGAGTGTGAGTGGGTGCGTCCCGGGCGGGGAGAGCCGGCCCGCCGCGCCCGCTGGCTAACCCTCAATCTGTACCACAGACTCACTGAGGGCCAGAGGGCTGAGCAAGGAGAGACAGGCTGGAGAGCTGGGCGAAGGGGCGCGTGCACACACACACACACACACACACACACACACACAGCGCGTGCGCGCACACCCGAGAGAGAGAGAGAGAGAGAGAGAGAGAGAGAGAGAGAGAGAGAGAGAGAGAGAGAGAGAGAGAGAGAGAGAGAGAGAGAGAGAGAGAGAGAGAGAGAGAGAGAAGGGGAGGGGGCGGAGTGACGTCACCCCCGACATCCATCCACCCAGCCAGAAAAGACCCTCTCAGATTCACTCAACTCAACCCGGTGCAGTCACACCCGGGCGCTTCCCGCTCTGCTTCCTGAAGCACAGGAGGAAGAAAGGCTGGTCGCACCCTGTTCAAAGCAGTTGAGTAGTACAAGGGGCATTCATTGATGAGACTCAGTTGTGTCTATCCCAGTTCACCTTGGCAGCCTCCTTCCCGGACGTTTGTAGGATCCACTTTGGAGGCAGAGAGGAAGGCAGGGAAGTACTAAACCCAAATCTTGCTGTGGGAACTCTTAGGGCGCGTTCTGCTACTTGCTCCTATGTTAGCGAAGCACTGCTCTCCGGCTCTCCTGAAAGACAACATAAAATCTCTCCAGACAGGCACCAGTTGTTGGACGAGGGTGGCTAAGGTGCCTGGTACGGATTGCTAGCTAAAAGAGGCGTTTTAACCTTCTTCCCTACTCACACGATCTCCAGCATGTGGGGGAAGTCAGCAGCTGGAAGCCTCCACTGGCAACTGGCCCATCAAAATTCATTAAGAACACCAAGAGAAAGGTCAAGTGAAGTGAAGCCGGGGCCTTCAAGCCACCTCCACTGTTCATTCTGTGTTCAGGCCAGCCAATGCAAACAACATTTATTCCTGCAGACTCCAAACAGTCTTGGAAGGAGCAAAGGTAAGCAGACCCTCTTAGAAGCAACCTAGTGGTCCAGTATCCAGCATCCTGACTATTGTCTCTAGTTGCCTGAATATTTGCTTCAATCCTCTGCATGCCATGCTCTTGAAAATTACTGAATGGATGGTCAGCATTCCTCTGCCCACTACACACTGCAAAAAGAAGGTATATCGTTTGGAAGGGGTCTTGTGAGATGTACTTTGGTTTCTCAACAAGTCAGGAGTAAAAAAGCATCCTTGCTTAACTCTCCCTTATTTTTCCCCTCCTCCTTTTCCTCCTCTTTGAGCGGTTAGCCTTACAGTGAGAACCAGGAAGAAACCCATTACTGTGCAAGCTCCAAGCCATGTTTAACCAAGTTTTTGATCAACAAGCTGAAAGCTTGAGCAGGTATCGTGAACACCTGATGGTTCTTTATGCCCTCAGAGTGAATCTAGAAATCGGAACTGCCTGATAAATCACTCTCACCCAACATAGCAACTCTAGGTTGGCTTTGCCATGCCTCCACCTCCCTCGTGAACACGTGGTCCCATTTTCCTCATCTAGAGTTGGGTATTAGAAAGACAAGATACCCTCTGCCTCCATGCCTGACCTTGCTGAGAAGAGCCCAGCAATGAAGCCTGACTGCTCTCTGGGTAGAGTCTAGGAAGTTTGCTCTCCCCACACTAGCAGCAAGTTAGACTAGTTGGAGAATTCAGTGCTGTCTGTTACCAAGGTGAGCGACATAGGTCACAGTAGGAATAAACGACAAGCTCAACTTCTTCCACACCAGAAGGTCCTAGATGTTCAAGTCTGTATTATAACCAAGCATCTTTAAAAAAAAGAAAGAAAGATATAGGGGTCTAGTGACATCTAGTCTCAGCTGTTATTGTACAAAACAAACTTAGAAAAATTCAGGCTGAAGCTGCTGAGGAAGGAGAGATAGAATAAGCAGAGAAACCAGACATCTCCACACATCCCAGACTCCAGCCAGGCACATACACATTACCACCCTGGTAGCAAATGCACACAGCAGCTGATACTGCAGCACCTCAGGTAGCAGATGGACTGCTTTGCCTTCTAGATCTTTTCACCAAAGAACACTAGAGGTGGGCAGGTTTCTGGCTAGTCTCATTTCATTGTTACAGGTAAGGAAACTTGGTCTCTGAGACTATAAGGTTACACAAAGTGTCTAAGGCAGAGGTAGAATACAAACCCAGGTGCCATTTCCCCATTTCCCTGATCCTAAAATATCCACAATCACCTTTAAGTTCTGGTTAAAAATAAACTGTTTTTCAAAATCATCAATGAACAACAAATATAGACTATTTTAAAATGATAGTTGTTCACACAAAAGCAAGCAAAGCAATAGGGCTAGACCTGTCTTAATTCCCTTCCAGCTCTGACATTCTGTGAAGAACAGCACACTGGAGCTTTGCTGTGATACACACCCCCTGGAGAGCATAATTCAGCTAGGGTGACTATGAGTATGTTTTGGACTCCATCCAAGGGAGTTTGTTCCTAGAAGTACTGGTGAGATTTTATTTTCATTTATCAGGAAGCATACAAAAAGAAATTTAAAATAATCACAATGGTAGTAGCCAACTGTTATCTTGTATTATGTAATAAGCTCGTTATCATATAACATTGTTTTGCTTGGGTGGGTGTGGTGTCATAGAAAAAGTCTCAAGTAGTCAACATTGACCTTGAACTCTTGATCTTCCTGCCTCCTCTTCCCTGGTGCTGAGATTATAGGAGTAGGCCACCACAGCCAGCTCCCACTGGTTTTCAAAAGACACATAATGACCTTTTGAAAGTTTCATAAGTATAGTGGTTACAAACAGTTGTTTGTTTTTCTCAGTGGAAGAAAAGTAGGAAAGAATTACTTTGATCATTTGGCTAGTTATTAAAGGAGAAGACTGGAAGTCACTATCTCCAACCGTAACCTTTGCCTTTCTGGCTGAATATTATTAGTTTCTGAGTTTAAGTGGGGAAACAGGATCAGATAAGATAAAGAATTCAACCGTTCCCAGAGCTTGCTAGATGTCAAGCTAGAATTTTGTACCTATAACTTTTCAAGTCCAAACTGCTTTTATTTCTGTAACGATGAAAAATTATAAACTAAAAGATGCAATAAATTTTTGTTAATCATATTTTCCTTGAAAGGAGTATAGAGCTCTTTATGAAATCCAGCTAGAACAGAGAAATACAACATAGATCCAAATGACACATGAGTAGTTTCATAAGCACCGAAGCTAATATCAGACCATTCCGACAGGTGCTAGGTTGTGTCTAACATTCTTTATTAACTTGTTGCTAAGAGCAGCAATGAAATAATAATGAATGGTTTTAATCCTCAAACATTCCCCTCTACAAGTTAAAATGCTAGAGAGAAATTCCTAGATTGAATTCGTGCAGCGACGCTCAGCTGCATGTGCTCTCCTAGCACAGAGGCAGCGTGAAGAAAGATTAGAAAAACGTGAGAGCCTAAACTAAACAATATTTGGCTTAACTTAGCAACAGAAGATATAGTCCTGTACCTGCGGTTATAATTCTACCTGCACTGCAAAGAAGAATGGAAAACAGTAACTCATCTGAGCAGTGCTGTGGATTCTACCTACAGTGCTACATAGTGGTGTGGTATGTTTCAGTTCCTCGGGTCTGAAAGTTCAAAGCCAGCACCAAGTAATGGCTGCAGCAGATCCTGTCCTTTCTGATCTACATGGAAAGGGCTTCCAGTACACAGGAGGTAGTTAGGGGTGTAGAGCAATGCTATGCAAACATCCATACTTTTCCACATATGAAATAAATGCACTTTTTCTCCCACAGGGCAACATCTAAAAAAATCCCTAATATTCTTAAGAAAAAAAAAAAGCTTAGAAAAGTAGGCCACTCCGTTGGCTGGCTCAGTTCAGTTGCCACATCTCACCCTCACCTGTACTGTGGAGAGGACATTATGCTACAATACTACTTTCCATTGGGTCAGCTACTGGAGACTACAGCATGAGACTGTGACAAATGGATATTCCCATTAAATTCTTTAGGAGAGTGGGGCATTCCATTAACCACTGGCGCTATCCCAACCCAAGGGAAACATTGGGTCATTTTTTTCATCTGAGCAAGAAGTGAAGGGGGAAAACAAAGGATATACTCTAATTACTTTTCTATTTTTTTGTTGCATGCATTATGATAGTCATATATTACAATTATTTATAATTATCATATGACAAGCTGTCAGATAAAATTTAACAGGTGATTTGTCAAGAAGCTCCATTAATGTATTTACTAAGCACTGGTTTTCAGTATTTCTCAACAGGAAAATTGTGTCAATTTTGCTTTTAAAATTATGAAGTTTAAATATTTAGAGGCCTCCTGTTTTTAAATGACAGAAACTACTTATTAAATACCACTAGTGGTGGGGCATAGTGGTGCACTCCTTTAGTTCCAGCACTCAGGAGGCAAAGGCAAGTGGATCTCTGTGAGCACAAGGCCAGCCTGCTCTTCATACTGAGTTCCAGCCCAGCCAGGACTACATGGTGAGACCCTGACTCACAAAAACAAAACAAAACAAAACAAAGTAAACTAAAAATACTCCTGTTGCTAACAAACATGGGTACACAGTTATTAATGTAAGGCATAAGCACATTTTCATCACTTCAGGTTTTAAATGCTAAAGTTTTCATTGAAAATAACAATTGCCAGGTGTTTTTTTTGTTTAATTGCTTATATCTCATAATTTTAATACATCATTTAATTTTTAAATGTTTTTCACTTAAAAATGTGTGAGTGAATGCACACGTTGATGCGTACACCTTTGTGCACGCTTCAGCATGCACGTGGAGGTGAAAGGACAACTTGATTCCTTCCTGCCACCATGTGGGTCCTGGGGATGGAACTCAGGTCATCGTGCTTGGGGGCAATAATTTTTACCCGCCAAGCTGCCTTTACCAGCCCCATTTTTAATATTTTGAAATACATTTACTTAGTGTATTTGTGGGGAGGTATACATGTTGATATGAAAGGACAACTTGATTGCAGAAATTGGTCATTTCCTTCAACTGTATGGATTTGGGGACTCAGATTCAGTTGGTTGGTCTTGACAGTAAATGCCCTAATCCATCTTCTGGACCCAACTTTTAATACATTTTTAATGGATGGATGAGTGAGAAGGTAGTAAGAGCAGGCATTTACATTCTGTTTAGTATCTTTGTCTTACCATAATGCAAAGGAAGGAATATTTTAAAGTACAGGCAAAGATTAAGAAGTCAGTGAAAAGCTAGTAATTCATCACTGACTAGAGGACATTCTACAGAGAGCCAAAGCTGAGGAAGCTGAGGAAGCAGGCTCTCTTTCGCTGACTGGCACAAGAACAGGGAACGCAATGAAAATGAACCTCAGACAGTTCTGAGAGAAGAATCTTGGGAAGAACGAAAAGTTTTGGTTCCAGTATCAGACAGATGTCAAAGTCATAGCACAGAACCTGGAAATGAAATTAAACTGCTTGCCATAATTTTATTATTGACCCCCATGGCCAGCCAGAGTCTGTCCTCCTTAAGAGGATGATAGGAAAGTATAGCAATACTTGTTTAAAGTTTCATTTACTCAAGCCTGACTCTTATCTTCAAGCCGGTGACATGCAGCAGGCTGTTAATGACTGGCAATCAGCGACTCGGAGGGAGCTGAATCTCCTTAATGAAAGAATGTGCTTCAAGATTCAACAGAAAGAAAAAAAAAAGTGAAACCTAAAGCCCAGCTGCCTTTCAAAGCAAATATGACACCCAACAACCAAGGTCACCAATAAAAGGCAGCTTTCACATTTTTTGGAAGAAAGGACTAACAAAGGCTGGAAATTATTTTTAAAGGTTCATTCTCCCCAGGTTTCAGAAAATTACTTTCAGACACTCAGAAGCAAAATAGCATAAGCTGATCTCCATGCAATGAGAAGTGTGTCTATATGAAATTGGGGGCTTACATGTCTATCAGAGACAAACACATCCTCATATCCTGGGACAGGGGCTCAGGGT